CAAAAGGCTTGAATAAAAAACAGAAACCTTCCAGTAATCCCTTTGTATGAAGCTTCATCGGGTACATCTTGATCACATCACTTTAAGTGATGTGAGTGCTTTGTTTGGTTAGAGAGTGAGTGGGTTGACAGTGTATTGCAGTGCGGCAGACAGTGTCGTCAGTCACTTCAGTTTCAGCTGTGTCAAATGACTTTGTACTGCTACATAGGAACCACAGGAGCACCAAGTTCTTGATTGGTTCCTAGCTCCTGAATCTGTAGCAGTTCATCCTTAGCTGGGATCCGTTCAAGTTTGTAGCAATCCAAGTAGGTCAGGTTCCTTATCTGGTTCTTATCAGTAAGTTTGTTAGATCATAAAAACATAAGGCAAGAGTATTTAAGATCTATCAATTTCCCCCCTTTTGATGATAACAAACTTAAACAGTTATAACAGAATTAAGACAGAAGAAAGCAGTGTCAAAGAATTCCCCCTAAGACGATGCCTTAATTTTAAGTCTGATATAAGAACCAGTTCCCCAATGTGGTTCCCCTAAGCTCTTTTCCCCCCTTTTTGGCATCATTAAAAAGAATAAGATCACAAAGAAGTCCAGCCAAGCTAACTCATGCCACATATGTACACACTAGCATGAGGAAAAATAGAATACAAGAGAAAGCACTAGACAAATTAAAAGAGGATTTATATTAATAATAAATTTTTTAAGCCTCTTCCTCTGAAAGAAGGAAGAGGCAGCATTTGGACTTGATCACGGGAGCAGTAGTAGTACATCCCAACCACACAAAAAAAAAAACAAGAACATCCACCAATCAACAACAAGGAAAAGGAAAAAGGAACTCATCCAGATAACTGGTCACTGAGGAGAAACTTAGGGGGCACTAGGAGAAAAAGGGCTTGGAAGCAGCTGCAAGTGTCTGTAGAACAAGATCTATTCGGGCGTTTCCCAACTTTTGCTCGTTGAGCAGTTTAACTTTCAGGTTCTCAACTTGCGCCCCGAGGTCAGCATTTTCTTGGGTCAAACGGATCACCTCATCATTCGACAGGGGAACCGCTCAAGCTTGCTGGCCTTCCAGGATGGCATTCCTGGCCTTCAGTCGATGTATCTCCTCAGCTGGGCTATTTTGGGCATTGATGAGTTAAGACACAGTTGAAGTGCTTCCTACACCCCCATACTTCTCAATACACTCGCACTCTTCCAAGGTTGTCTGTGAGAATGTCTGCTTACGGGTCCCTACTTTACCTGTTCCTAGTGGAACATCAAAGTATTTGAACACTTTGCGTGAGCAAGAATCCATAGGGAAGCCCGTGATTGCCATCCTTGAAATTAGCCACTTTCTATATGTGCTCAATCATTATGGCAGGAAAACTCACAGGGTTGAAACCGTCCAATTGCTCCATTAAGAATAAATCAGATTTGGAAGTGATAGATCGCCTTTCTGCTTGAGGCAACAGGACTTTGTTCACCAGTTCAAACAACAACTGGTAGATAGAAAGCAGTGCTTTCTTATGAACCTGGTCCCCCTTCATATTAGAATTACCTTTCATGATTGCATTTCAGAAGTTGTATTGAAAAACATCTCGTACACTAGACACCCCAACAGTAGGAACCTGCAGAATTTCCCCAAGTAATTTCATGTCAAAGATAATATCCACCCCATTGACTAAAGCACATACATGGTCAGTATCCACTGGAAAGAGACTGGCGAAGAAACTCTTGACCTCCTCCTCATACACTTTAGGAGCGTCAATGTAGAACAGATGTGCCCATTGCTGAAACTCCACCATTTCTAGAAGCTGATGCATTCCTGCTATCTCAAAGATTGTTGGGTCAAACATGCGACCCAGCAAAACCTTTTGATGCCTTAGTCGCTCAGATCCAAGGCAGACGTCACTTCTGGCTTTCTTCCCAGAACTGGGTTCTTCAACTATTTCTAACTTGCGTTTCCTATGCTTTTCTCCACTAACTTTACCTTTCCCTTGGACTTGACAAGAATATCTTCATCACTCACTGCCTCCTTTGTCTTGGACTTGGAAGTAGATCCCTTTTCTATGGAGACAGACTCAACCTTTTTTGAGGACCTCCTTATAAGGGAACCAGGTTCCTCAGGAGTTCCTTCCTCCACCACAACTACAAGGATAGATTCATCACTTGCACGGACACCATTCTTTACTAACTTTCTCCTTTTGTTCTTACTACTTTTATTTCTCTTTTGAAGTGTAGAGTCGTAGGCTACTTTGACTTGAAGCCTGGTAGTAGGTCACTTACTTTCAGACTCATGAGTGGTGACAACCCTGCGCTTACCTAAGAATGCATCTAGGGCCACATTGTCCAGGTCTTCTTCATTACTAAACCACATTGCTGGTAATTTCCAGGGTCACAGCATCGAAAGCAGGTACAACACTATCCTAGGGATGAGAGTCCTGACCTGGGTCCTCCGGAGAGGGATCAGGTTCCTCATGAGATACCCCAGTAGTGTATACTGTTGCATCCCCTTCAACAGCCAGAATGGATCCTTCTACCCACACTTTTTATGGCTCTTGTCTCTGAGAAATAACTTCAGGCAATATGCCATCTGCAGATACAACAAACACAGTCTTTTTGTCTTCAACAGGTGCTTCCACAACCATAGAGTCGACGGTAATGATGGCGGAGCCTTTTGTGAAGTCAGTATTTTCACCTTGTTTTCCAATTAGGGTTTGACTGGTGTGGGCAGCAGATGATGTTGAGGACAGAACAATATTTTTAGGGGTTTCTGAGTAGGGAAGAGGTTGGGAAACTAGGGAAGTTGTGATTATAGTAGTAGAAGTGATAGAGAGTGATACAGACTTAGTGAAAGAGAGAGGTTCCATGGATGGGTCACAGGTTTTCTCAGCCATTGGAAGAGGTGTTGTGATGATCCTTCCTTTTGGGTAAATCTAGAATAGGGCTTATGGTTAGAAAGAGTAGACAAGAGGGTTTTTTTTTAAAACAGAAAGGACAATTATGAAGGGAGAAGAATAGGTACCGGTACTGAAACGATGGTTAGGCGTGGAGAATCATGACGTTTCATAGGGAGATGGAACGTTTTGAATTGAAGGGACATGACATCCGGATCTGAAAAGTTGATGACATGGCAGTTGTATTTTGTGCCTTTTAAGACGTGTATTAAAGGATGTACAAAACTATTGACCTTTAGTACAAGAACCTGGTTCTTGAAAATATTTTCTTCAAGCCCTCCCTTTTTTTTGAAAAAAAAATTAATCTTCTTTTATCAGTCATGTACTGCATCTACTGCTTCTATGCTCATCATGCATATTTACCTTCAACGGTATTGAAGTGAGTTAGACAGGACCAGAAAATACTTTGAACCTATTATTTATTAATAACTCTAGCCAACTCAAAAAGGAATCAGGTTCTTAATTTGGCCTCAACAGTCCCAACTTTACTCTGTTTCTTTCGAACTGTTCTCTACTTAGTGCCTTGGTAAAAATGTATACAATTTGATCTTCGGTGCTGCAGAACTTCATGCATATCAACCCTTTCTCCACATTATCTCTTAGAATGCCTCACATCAATATGTTTGGTCCTTTTATGTTGGACTGGATTTTTTGCCATGTTGAGTGCACTGGTGTTGTCACATAGGAGAGGCACACTCTCAGTGAGAACTCCAAAATCCTCCAGTTGCTGCTTGATCCACAGAAGCTGAGCACAGCAGGATGCTGCAGCTACATATTCATCTTCAGTTGTTGAAAGAGCCACTACGTTTTATTTCCTTGTATCCCAAGAGATAAGACATGATCCTAAGAAGTGAGCCATCCCAGAAGTGCTTTTTCTGTCCACAAGATAACCTGCATAGTCTGCATTAGCATACCCAATTAGATTAAAATTGTCACCTTATGGATAGTATAGCACCGGGTGCTGCGTGCCTTTGAGATATCTCAGTATTTTTTTGGCGGCCTTCAAGTGAGATTCCTTGGGATTTGATTGAAACCTTACACACAGCCCCACACTGAAAACAATATCAGGTCGACTGACAGTGAGATAGAGAAGAGACTCAATGATGCCTCTATACATTGTTTGATTCATAGGAGATCATGTTTCATCCATGTCTAGTCGAGTGGCAGTTGCAATGGAAGTGTCTATTACCTTTGATGCTTCCATGTCAAACCTCTTCAAGAGTTTCCTGATGTATTTTGCTGACAGATAGAAGTACCTTTTGGGGACTGTTTTACTTAAAGACCCAAGAAGAAATTTAATTCCCCCATCATGCTCATTTCAAATTCACTCCCCATAAGTTTTGCAAATTCTTCACACATAGAGTCAGCTGTTGCTCCAAAAATGATATCATCAACATAAACTTAAACAATGAGTAGGTTCCTTCCTTGTTTCTTTAAGAAAAGAGTGTTTTCAATCTTCCCTCTCTTAAAGCCATTTTTTAAGAGAAATTTTGACAATCTTTCATACCACGCTCGAGGAGCCTACTTTAGCCCATACAAGTATTTGTCCAATTTGAACACGTACTCAGGGTGCTCATGACTTTCAAACCCAGCGGGTTGCTTCACATAGACTTCTTCCTTAAGTAGTCCGTTCAAAAATGCACTTTTGACATCCATTTGGAACAAGGTGAATTTCATATGAGAAGCAAAGGCAATCAGAATTCTGATGGCTTCCACGCGAGCCACTGGAGCAAATATTTCATCATAGTCAATCCCTTCCTCCTGATTGTAACCTTGAACTACGAGCCTAGCTTTGTTCCTTGTGGTAATTCCAAGCTCATCGAGCTTGTTTCTGAATACCCACCTGGTTCCCATAATGGTTCTATCTAGGGGTCTAGGTACCAGGTGCCAAACGCTATTTCTCTCAAATTGACGCAGCTCGTCTTGCATGGTTGTAATCCAATCTGCATCTTTTAAGGCTTCCTTGATGTTCTTGGGTTCTATCTGGGAGAGAAAGGCTGAGAAGGCAAGTAAATTTCTAGCTCTTGACCTGGTTTGGACTCCGAAATCTAGAGGAGTGATTATGTTGTCTATAAGGTGAGAAGATGTCTCCAGTTAGATGATTGGGGTTTATTCTGAGAGGAATAAGGTATGTTTGGCCGATTCTCCTCTATCCTTCTCTTAGATGCTAGTGAAGTTCCCTGAACTGCATCAACCACTCTTTCTTCAGCTTCAGTGGTTGTAATTAAAGTGCTTGGTTCTGTAGATGATGAGGCAGTGTTGTCTTCATTTGCCTCCTTCATTTGACTCATCATATCTGCCTTTTCGTTTGTCATGTTAATGACTTCGCCAGGAACAAGTAAGGGTTGTCCATCTTGATCTTCCTCAACGTTCTTCTCAAATGATGGGTGTGATTCATCAAAAATAACATGGACGCTTTCTTCAACACATTGAGTCTGCTTGTTGTATATCTTGTAAGCCTTGCTTTGAGAAGAGTAGCCAATAAATATTCCTTCGTCACTTTTGGCATCGAACTTACCAAGCTGATCTTTTCCATTGTTGAGAACATAGCATTTGCATCCAAACGTTCTTAGGTAGGTTAGCTTGGGTTTTCTTCGATTCAGCAGTTCATACGGGGTCTTGTTCAGAATTGATCTGATCATGCACCTGTTCACTAAGTAGTAGGCAGTGTTGACAGCTTCAGCCCAAAAGTTCTTTGCAAGTCCACTGCCAATCAACATTGTTCTTGCCATTTCTTCTAGAGTTCTATTCTTTCTTTCTACTACTCCATTTTGATGTGGAGTTGTAGGAGCTGAGAAGTTGTGAGAGATACCATTTTCATTGCAGAAATCATCAAATTTGACATTGTCAAATTCTGTCCCATGATCTTATCTAATGCATACAACTCTAGACTCCATCTTTACCGGGATTTTCTTCACAAAGGCCACAAATACTTCAACCGTTTCATCTTTTGTTCTGAGAAACAGAGTCCATGTGAATCTGGAATAGTCATCCATGAGCACGTAAATGTATCTCTTTCCTCCTCTGCTTTGCACCCTCATAGGTCCACACAGATCCATATGTAGGAGCTCAAGTGGTCTTGAGGTGCTCACATCTCTTTTTGACTTAAAGGAGGATTTTACATATTTTTCTCTAGCACAGGCATCACATACCTTTTGAGTTTTGAATTGTGACGTAGGCAAACCATGGACCGGGTCCTTCTGAATTAGTTTGTTCAGAAGGGAGATGCTTGCATGGCCCAGTCTTCTGTAAAGATCACCACTCTGTAAAGATTAGAAATCAGGAATATAGATGTTCTTGTATCTTTTGGCCACCAAGACTATTTCACTAGTCACAAGGTTAGTGACTGTACATATTTTGGATAAGAACTCCACCTTGTTTCCCTTATCGCAAATTTGAGAGACACTCAGGAGACTGTACTTAAGTCTATTGACATAGTACACATTTTCAATAGAGTGAGTGAGTGACTTCCCAACTTTTTCAACTCCAAGAATGTACCCCTTTTTGCCATTGCCAAAGGATACACTCCCTCCTTGCATGGATTTTAGTGAAAGAAAGTTTGTGGTGTTCCCAGTCATGTGTTTTGAACATCCACTATCCATGAACTATTGTTGATCACTTCCCTTTACTGTTCCCTGCACAAGAAATTAGGAGTTAGTTTTAGGAATCCAAGCAAGTTTGGGCCCCTTGTAGTAACCAAGAGGATGAATAAGAGCTCTCTTAGTCCATACAGGTAATGTGCGTTTTCTATGAGTAGAACCTAGTCGTTTTTTTGTAGTCATAGTTTCAGCAGCCACCTTATCTTTTGGTACTGATTGATTCTTGGCCTGGACACCTTCCTTGGAGTGCCCAGTGTTCCCACGTTGGGTACGAGGCCAGTTATCAGATGCAGTGGCACTCTTACTGTGAGGGTTGTAAGGAGCTTTCTTCCTTGGGAACCCTGTCCCCGCCCTTTTTTAATGACATTAGTGAACAAGGCAGGGGTAGCTTTTACGGACCAGGTCCACTTTAGAGACTTCTCAAGATCTTTCATTGCTTTTTCTAGATTGGCTTGGAGGAGCTCATTTTTCTCAATTTCAGCGCTCATCCTATATATCAAGGCCTTCACCTCATCTTCAAGCCTAACATATTCATCACTAACTATCTCCTTTCTTCTTTCAGGTTTTTAGGTTTTGACTTAGTCAAGGGCTCTACTATTTGTTCCCTTTGGTCAGCAGTTTCTGCCAAGAGATCACTCTTTTCTTTTCTAAGAGTTTCAATGGCTTTTNTTTATATAGTTATTAATATTACTACTTTCTAATATGTTTTAAATTATACACTTAATATGAGAAAGGTTTATGAGATTTTTTTTATTGTAAAGATACAAAATATTATTTTCTCACTAGAAAAGAAGGTTATCTTTTTACTATTTTAAGAATTAAGCGTACGAAAATTTATACTCTTTATATGAGATTAGGAAAATTAGAAGTTGAAAAGTGGTATCAGAGCAGTTCTTGTCCTAGGGAGTCTACAAAGTCGTGCCTAGTAGAGTCTCACTTATGGGTGTGTTGTGCGCCACATTTATAATTGAGAGGCTATAGGGCATTTAGGAAATGTAACCCTTCTTTTGTTTCCAGATCGTGCCATAGAGCTGAATCGTAAGAAATCAGTATGAACCTTTCGCTAGATTTTATATACATCAGAGGTGCAGGTATCATAGTAGAGCTTTAAGGCGTAATGTGGAAGGGAGGCTATGAAAGAAACAGAAGATACGATGAGAGAATGAAAAGTAAGTAAGGTAAAGGTGAAGAAGTTACGACATAATCAAGTACAAAAGGTTGTGAATATTCAAGATTTCAGATACAGTTTGGTTTTTAAGTTTAATTTACAGAGGAGACCCTAGTGAAAATTTTACAAATCTCTAAGAGATAACATTCAAGGACGAATGTTTTAAAGGGGGGAAGGATGTTACACCCCGTAAGTTTAACAACATTGATACTGTTATATATATATTTGATATAATATTTTGAGTGGAACTTTTCTTGTAAAGGAAAAAATGGTTTGAAGATGATTTTATATAGTTATTCATATTACTACTTTCGAATATGTTTTAAATTATACACTTAATATGAGAAACGTTTATGAGATTTTTTTTTATTGTAAAGATACAAAATATTATTTTGTCACTAGAAAAGAAGGTTATCTTTTTACTATTTTAAGAATTAAGCGTACGAAAATTTATACTCTCTATATGAAATTAGAAAAATTAGAAGTTGAAAAAAATATATATGTATTTTTACGTGAATGTTTTAATGAAATAATAATGTATGTTTTGATTTATATGGTACTACATGATCATGATAGTAAAATATATTATAATAAGGTGAATAAAGTGAGTAATACTTTAAGTAATTCGAAATAATTTTTAATTATATAGAAAATTAATTAATTATTGATTAATAGGAGATTACCTAGTCAATTAAGGAATTGGTGGGTATTAATTAAGGTCTTTGGATAAAGACCATGGAATTTAACGTGGCAACAAAACCTTGTCTAAATTGTGAGTCTTGCATTATGTGAAAAGGTGGCATCTTTAGGAGATAATTGTAGTCCAAGTCATACCTAAAAGTGGGGCCATTCAATTTGACAAAGAAATAACACTATGACTACTTCATCATCCCAACAGTAGTTAAAACTATACACAAAAGACTTTAGTTTTCTATATACACAGCAAAAATTCTATCCACATAGTATTTCTTTACTTTTCTTTTTGTACCACTTTTGCGTTTTATTGAGAATATGAGTTGTACTCCTGAAGACAACTCAAGAAGTCTCATTGGAATTGTTTGATTTTATCAACCGTGAATATGAAGGCATATTTGTCTTGAAAACCTTAGTAAGTTAGAAAGTAAAAATATAGAATTGAGAACACCACATGGGAAGAAGACAAGGGGGTAAACCAATAGAAAAAAGAACTTATTGCTAGAGAAATGGAAAGGGGTTAAAACTAGGCAAAGAGCTTAGAAGCTTTGAGAACGGCAGTTTGCTTGATCAAATTCTGAATATCCAGCAGTATCTAGCCGTATCCATGGATCTATCCGTGGCAATTATTGGAGCTGTCATTTACTGTATCCTACCAAAGGTCTATGCTAGTAATCTTGTGTCACGAAAGAAAATGTATTTGGGTTTAGAATGGTTGTCGAGGAATTCGCCAATTAGACTGAGAAACGAAGCACAAGAGCAAATTAAACTAAAGTTTTGGATTATCACCGAGTCATCAGTTGAGTAAACTTCTGTTTAAAGGGCTTCCAACTGCTGCTCAACTATGTTAAGGTTATTTCTTCTTTCTTTTGGCATGATTCATGTAATGATACATAAACGTAATATTATTCCATAAGTGTTTCTACTCTTAGCAGTTAAGGATGTCTATGTTATTCATTCCGGTAAAGGGATATTCAAGCATGTCTAAGTATGTATCATTATTTACCACCGGTTGGGCAATCATGCATATTCATTTACCACCGAGCTACGGCCGGTCAGACAGTCATGCATTTACCACCGAGCTACGGCCGGTTGGGCAGTTATACATTTACCACCGTGCTACGACCGGTCGGACAGTTACCACCGGTTGGGCAGTCATGCATTTACCGCCGTGCGATGGCCGGTCGGGCAGCTACCACTGATCAGTTGGGCAGTCATGCATCTTACGATATGGATAATAGAAATAGTCTCAAAGAGAAGTATTATATATGTAAGTATGATAAATATGCAGATAAGGTGGAACTTCAGATATTCAGGATGATTCTTATATTTCTTTACTTAATGTTGAATTATGGTTATGTTTCAGTTCTGCCTTACATACTCAGTACATTATTCGTATTAATGTCCTTTTGTTGGGGACGCTGCATTCATGCCTGCAGGTATAGATAATCAGTTTGACGAACACTCATAGTAGACGAGATTGTCATTCAGCGAAGGATGAGTAAGACTCTACCTCATTCGGAGTGCAGCCAAGTCTGTGAGTCATCTTGTCAGAAGCTTTCTACAGACTTATGGGTAAGTCGGTACCCTGTTCCATTTGATGTCAAATAATCTTAGAGGCTTTATGGACAAAGGTTCATTTTGTATAGTATGTCAGAGGCCTTGAAGGCCCATATGTATTCATGTTTTAAGAGAAATGGTTTAGTAATACAGTGTTTTCCCACTTGCAAGTTATACATCACGAGTTGTGGCCATGTTGGCCCACGATAGTTACAAAGAAGAAAAAAGGTGCAGAGTGGTTCGCTCGGGCCAGTGCGGCACCGAGTGCTAGCCACGCCTCCTTAGGTTTGGGTCGTGACAAGTAGTTACAGTGACTAAGTCTTTTTTAGTATGTTCAGATTCTTCTAGTTCTAAGAACAAAGAATCACTATCCTCCGCAAGACTATAAAATGCAGTAATTAAAATATCAGCTAAACACATGAGTTTTTTTGGAGAGTAGGATTTCAGATTTTTCTGAACATCCCTGAAGTTTACCTCTTCATTGCCATTGTCTTCATCATTGTGTGATTGAGCCATCAAAGCAGGCGTTGAGTCATATCCAATCTCCTTGCCTTCAACTGCCATCGTAGAACTATCATCAGTATTAGATTTATCTTGTTTTACTTGTGTAGTTCCCTCATAAGCTATTTGCAAAGGCTCCCATATTTTCTTGGCAGTGTCGCATGTAGAGATTCTGTCGTACTCTTTAGGTTCCAAACCATATACCAGAATT